TAGTATGGCTTAGGTCACGGTTAAAGTAGACTGAGCTCGTAATCTTACTAAATAGCTTAAGTATCTTCTGATGTACCTTTATTAAGAATTTATTGGTTATAATAAAAGACAAGAGCCAGGCCTCGTCATAAAAAAAAAATAAAAAATAAAAAATAAAAAATTTTAGGTGGTTTGTGATCTGCACATTACCCGAAATTATTAACCAATAAATACAAAATTTCAGAACACAATAAAACTTGATTATATTTTTTGACTAGCATAGATGAGTGAGATAAAAGCGTTTCCCACTATAGACACTGCTCCCAAGCCTATTGTGCTAAAGAAGTTAGCACGTTTAATATCCTGAAATTAATACTGTATACATTAGTGCTCTTACGGACCGGGCTGAACCAAACTTAGGGTTACAGCTATTATCATAATAGTAATAAATTAAAAATAGCTTGGATTAGTAAAAGTTATGTTGCAGTTGTTATGAAATGCAGGCTTTTAAAACAGATACGTATCATTTCACTGACAAACACTTCACCGACAACTTAGTTCACCGACAATTAATTCACCAACAAGTTCATTTCACCGACAATTAATTCACTGACAAGTTTTTTTATAAATTACACTAACCTTAACTCTAATTTAGCCTGACCTTAACGACAATGACCAAAATTACTTTTTAAAACTACCTATAACTATAGTTGATACAATTTACGTATTTAGTTTGGTTTTTAAAGGCATTTTGAAGACAAACCAATTTAAAATTTTTATAATAAATCTCATTAAGAAAATATGAGTGCTGCCAAGGCAAAACTTAGAAGCCAATATTTGAGGTATCAATAAGGTAATTTTACCCCCTGGGATATTACATTGTTACGTATTGAATCAGAGATGCGATCAGTTGTTCTAGAACTTATTAGAAACACAAACTAAATTCAGTATTATGTAACATACATGATCAACTTTAAAGATCGCTTGCATTTTTTTCGCACTTTATACATAAAAAACACTAATTATTAGCAAGTGGCCTTTTATTGTATTTATTAATTTCGTGCATCTTTTGCACGAGCTCTCCTACGTCTTCCAACCCTCTCTATTAAATTGTCATCCAGTTTTGGGCAAAGTTTGTTACGAAAAGCAATGGGACAATACGGGCTAATATTTTTCCAAAGATCTACTTGCTTTTCTTTGGCAAGACCTTTTTCTGTAAGCTTTTAAGGACTCAGACTTCCAATATTAACATTTGGTTTTAATAATGAAAACTCATCCCAGGGATCATTTAACCTAATCTTTGCTCTTATTATACCAGGTTTTTCACAGCTAAACTGAAAAAAATG